CCCCAAAACCCCAAAACCCCATCAAGGCAAATTTAATTTAAACTTGGAAGCATTTATGAAATTAAGTTTAGATTTTTAATTATTTTTTTTGTCATCAGAAAATTACTTTCATTTTTGGTCGACTAGCATTTACTCAGATTCTTTTAACTCAAGAATTTTCTGATCAACCTTATAAAGCTAAATGAATGATGAAATTTCACCTTATTCAATTTCTAACAGTCCATTTCTATTTTCAGCAGCAGTTGAATCTCTTAGGAATCTAAATAGGCTGTCTCTTTATAATGTGAAATTTCCTTAAATACCTCTTGAAATGATCCATGAATAAAGATTATGGTCTATCTTCCTTATAAAGTCTCTAGTTTAGTATGTGTAAACCAAACTTATGATAGCAATATCAGCATTTTTACCTTAGAATTCATCAAAAGTCTATACTCCTTCTCTCGGAAACCCTAGTAGTGGATGCCAGCCGCATTTTTACTTCAGTAAATCAATAATCAATTATTTTTAACCACTTTCTGAGGTTAAAATGACTATTTTATCATTATCGATGGCTGATTATAATCTCAGGTACATATAGAGAGCCACTGAGTACTCAGCTTCAGCTAGATTGGTAACTATATGATCTTTACCTTCTTTAATGTTTAGTTCCATTCCTTTCCCTTTAAAATCTTCTACATTAATTATTTGTCTACTTTTTTCCATTCCTTTTATTGTGGTCTTCTATAGATTTTACTAGTCTTATTCTGGCTTTATTTTGAAAGTCTAGTAATTTTATCTGAGAGCTCTTTCAAAGCATGATTAAGGCAAGAAATACGAGTGTGTCTCATCACCAATTAATATAAGCTTCTTCAATTCATTCTAATCTTGATGGCATTTAATGGCTATTTGAATATCAATATCACTCATTAAGGAGGCATCATCTACAATCAAGGTATCAAATCTGAAGCCTGATTTTTGTAGTTTCTTGAAGCTATTTCTAGCATAATCAATTGTCATCCCAATTACCTTAGTCTAAGAGCAGACTATATATCTTTACCTTTCCTTGTTATTTCTAAGATTCTCGAAGGGCAAAATCATTTCAAGATCTTAGAAAATCATATCTATAAGCATCCAATAATCTTATGCTCTACCTTTCGCACAGGTAATATCAGTAAAAAGCATAGAATCAACATCATTAGTATTATTGGTATCATTATTATCAAGTTATAGATACTCGATAATAAATCTTTTAAAGGGAAACATGGTCTTTAAGTATTGATTTGAATCTTCTTTTGTCAAGCTTTACTCTAGATAAGAAGTCCATAAAGGTAGAAGATAATGATCGTAAAATATCTTTGCTCTCTCACAAGTATATTCTAGGAAAACATTGTAATTAACTGATTCAGCTAGAGATTTAACTTGATTCAAGAATTAAACTCTCCTTGATAGTAGTTCATTGATTCTATATTTAGGATTAAGGTTGTAAGGGATTAGGTGTTTATTTTTGGATAAGATGACAATGTCCTTATCTCTTATTCCATTCTTTAGCACACCTTAAAGAGCTTAGTTGAGTGATTAATCAGTTTTACTCAATAGCAATGTTCTTTATTACTAGTTATGAATGGTCTAGATCAACTTAGATGCCAATAATGTTTTACCTTATCCTGGTTTTCCTTCAAATAGAATTGTTTAAGTTTGGAGTTAACTTGCTATATTTAATTCACTTGGTGAAATCAACATATGCTATTTTAATTCATCATTCTCATTTTAAGCACCAATGAGGAAATTTTTTAGCCAGCCTTCAGTTTATTTCTTACCTAAATTATCATTGTATAATGTTTTTATGATCTCAAGATTGCTAATCTTATTCATATCAATTATTCTGTCAATCTTTATCAAGAGTTATGCTTCAGAGTAAATTTCCTCTAGGAATTTTGACTTTTGCACCATGAGTTTTTGAATATCATTCTTATATTGAATTGTGTCAAGTTTAACAATAACTGAGACAATTTCTTTGTTAGTCTCTTTATCAGTTTAAATCTTGCAAACCTAATGCTTTTAATCATGCTAAAGTGTAGTGAAACTTCCTCTAACTAACTTAATCCCATATTCTTTTGCAAGAGGATCCACTGATTATTCAGTGAGTTTTTCATGAGATTTGTCAAGACAGATGAAAAATAGTGGTTAATTAGGCTTTAGATTCAACCATTCTTAGCGACTTGATGTAGAATGATTGCTAAGACTAAACTATATCTCTGCTGTTACTTCACTAGGTGCTAAATAACCTATTTTTGGAGCTTTAACCTCAATGATGCTAATCTTGAGAATCTTTGCACTTTTATCACCTTATCCAATGAAATCTATGAAATCCCCAGTCTCCTCGCCAAATAATGGTCTGAGCTATTTCAATTGACTTTCTATTATTCCTCTTATTGAAATTGTCTCATCATCAATTTCCTAGTCGAAATATCTAAGCAGTTTGTCTTATATATCTAGGTACTATGTCTGAGGAAAATTTGGATTTTTTATATTTACTCCTGACATGAATATATCTTCCTCAGTTGGGAATATGGCGATATCGGAACTAATATTGAGGCCTTAATATTTAGTAAGATCCTCTATTAGTATCTCTATCATAATCTACTCGTTAGTAAATTTGTTAGATTAAAGGTCTTGGGGAAAGTTGATTTTTAATGTTTAGAAGAATATTTGAAGCTCCTTTTCGTCAAATCTCATTAAGATTTCTCTGAGGTTTTCTTCCTAATCAATTGAACCTATCATTTAAGATGTAATTTTTGTAAATTCTTCTGGAAATTGCTTGTAGCATATATTCGTAAATAATTGAAGTCTCTTATAAAACCTTAGATCCCTAATTTGTTGAGGAGTTTTGGGGGTAATTGGTACTTCATCATTATTCTCATCATTCGATTCATTTTCTCTTTTTTCATCTTCATCAATTTCTTAGGCTACAAGATAGTTTATATAATGCCTTAACTCCTCGCATCTCTTGACTAAGGCATCTTTATATTATTGATTTTCCATGATAGAGCTAACTCTGCATCTAATGATAGTTTATTAATCTTGAAGATAATAGAGCATAAATTGCTTCAATTAAGAGTCCTATGTTGAGGAAAGGTAGAGATTTAAGAAATCAAGGAACTTCAACGCTATATTAATTTGATAATCTTAAACTTTTTCATGTTTTTACAAAATAGAGCTGAAACATCTTTGATAAAGGCAGTCAAAGAATTTTGCTTCATCACTCTAGAAAAAATCTTTTCCTCTTTTAGCGATCATAGCCCATTTCTTTAGTACATCAGTGTTATCCTAGTTGTCGAGGAGCATTCGCTTAATAGTGATTCTAGACATCCTAAGGCATATTAAGATTCCAAAATAGTCCTCAAAGAAGGTTCTCACACACTCGATTTGTTATTCATTCGATTTTATTATTGCTAGGTACTTGACTATTATAGAGAGCTGCCACTCTTAAATATCATTCTGCTTATTATTAGTTTGTTCAATAATTGAATCAAAGATCCTATTTAGCACTTCTTCACTTAGATATCCACTCTCGTATAGAATCTAGACATAGTTAGCTTATCTCTTTGTGTGTTTAATTATTAGCAAGAGTGATATCCATAGATACTTAGAGATATTTTACTTTAACTCTGGCAGGAATCTATTCTTGAATATTTCATAATTAATGCATTGATTTATCATCAACTTTTGATAGTCCGATTCTAGAATCGTAGACTCAATACTTTCCAAGTCTATTTTCTAATAAAACTCAAAGGTTTGAAAACTATTTGGTTAATTAGCGACAACTAAATTCTCAGTCATTTTTATTCAAATTATTATATTAATCTATTGATTGTATTAAGAGATAAAACAAATGATGTGGGGTTTTGGGGTTTTGGGGTTTTGGGG